GGGGAGGAGGAGGAGGAGGAGGAAAGGAGAAAGGGGAGGATGGGATAGGGAAGGGGGGATTGGGGGGTAATTATATTCGGTCTGAGGAAGGAGACCGACAGGTCTAATTCCTCAGACCAAGAGCCTCTTCACCATGCCAAGGAGCCCCCCTTGAAGAGGTATAGCCCTTCAGAACAGTTCAAAAGGACCTAGTGATTTATTTAGTTCTAACCTAATTGTCTGAGAATAATCTCTAGTGACCTTGCATAACTTATTTTCACCCTGACATATATAATTAGTGATTTTTGGACTTTCTGCTAATATCTTTCTGCATTAATACAGAGAGGAAATAAGTTTTAAAAATTGTAAGCATTTTTATCACTGACAGTAAGCAGACCTAACTAATTTTTAAGTGAGCATTTATTTTCCAAAATTTTACTCCTATATGCATGAAACCTTTTGGGTTGGGCTGAGATTCCTTTGCAAATTCAATTTCATAATCTCTCTTGGCTTCTCATTCCTTTCTTTATTTACTGAATATACTAGCTCCTTGAGTGTGTCTATCCCCTTTTGATTTGTCTATAAGTGCCTCTCTTTTGACCTTTAAGATGTTTTAATTATTGTTTATCCATTTAGGATCATTTTTGTGTGATATAATTTTCCAGTTTGAAATAGTATATGTAGCTGGAACCCCTTGTACAGTGCTCTCAACAATGTTATATCGCAACCATTTCTACCTTCCTGCTCCACAGGATATTCCTCTGTCAGGTTACCCCAATCTTTTCTGCTGAGACGATCCCCTAGCCACATAAAACTGGTTGCACAAAAATCATGGGCCTTAACTTGATTATAGAGGACAAGATGAAAAATAGTGGGATGATCTAGTGGGATAGCCCCACTCCACAAAGGGGGCAGTAAAGCAACAGCAAAGAACTACAGACCAATAGCACTAACATCCCATATCATAAAAATCTTTGAAAGGGTCCTAAGAAGCAAGATCACCACCCATCTAGAAACCCATCAGTTACACAACCCAGGGCAACATGGGTTTAGAACAGGTCGCTCCTGTCTGTCTCAACTACTGGATCACTACGACAAGGTCCTAAATGCACTAGAAGACAAAAAGAATGCAGATGTAATATATACAGACTTTGCAAAAGCCTTCGACAAGTGTGACCATGGCGTAATAGCGCACAAAATGCGCGCTAAAGGAATAACAGGAAAAGTCGGTCGATGGATCTATAATTTCCTCACTAACAGAACACAGAGAGTAGTCGTCAACAGAGTAAAGTCCGAGGCAGCTACGGTGAAAAGCTCTGTTCCACAAGGCACAGTACTAGCTCCCATCTTGTTCCTCATCCTCATATCCGACATAGACAAGGATGTCAGCCACAGCACCGTGTCTTCCTTTGCGGATGACACCCGAATCTGCATGACAGTGTCTTCCATTGCAGACACTGCAAGGCTCCAGGCGGACATCAACCAAATCTTCCAGTGGGCTGCAGAAAACAATATGAAGTTCAACGATGAGAAATTTCAATTACTCAGATATGGTAAACATGAGGAAATTAAATCTTCATCAGAGTACAAAACAAATTCTGGCCACAAAATAGAGCGAAACACCAACGTCAAAGACCTGGGAGTGATTATGTCGGAGGATCTCACCTTCAAGGACCATAACATTGTATCAATCGCATCTGCTAGAAAAATGACAGGATGGATAATGAGAACCTTCAAAACTAGGGAGGCCAAGCCCATGATGACACTCTTCAGGTCACTTGTTCTATCTAGGCTGGAATATTGCTGCACTCTAACAGCACCTTTCAAGGCAGGTGAAATTGCCGACCTAGAAAATGTACAGAGAACTTTCACGGCGCGCATAACGGAGATAAAACACCTCAATTACTGGGAGGGCTTGAGGTTTCTAAACCTGTATTCCCTGGAACGCAGGAGGGAGAGATACATGATTATATACACCTGGAAAATCTTAGAGGGACTAGTACTGAACTTGCACACGAAAATCACTCACTACGAAAGCAAAAGACTTGGCAGACGATGCACCATCCCCCCAATGAAAAGCAGGGGTGTCACTAGCACGTTAAGAGACCATACAATAAGTGTCAGGGGCCCGAGACTGTTCAACTGCCTCCCAGCACACATAAGGGGGATTACCAACAGACCCCTGGCAGTCTTCAAGCTGGCACTGGACAAGCACCTAAGTCAGTTCCTGATCAGCCGGGCTGTGGCTCGTACGTTGGTTTGCGTGCAGCCAGCAGCAACAGCCTGGTTGATCAGGCGCTGATCCACCAGGAGGCCTGGTCACAGACCGGGCCGCGGGGGCGTTGACCCCCGAAACTCTCTCCAGGTAAACTCCAGGTAAACACATGGGTCAGTGTTGTTCAAGGTGAGGCTGTGGCCACCCACACTCACCAAGTCACTGTTCGGTGCATTATTATTATTATTATTATTATATTATTATTATTACTACTGTGTTATGATTGATACATTTATGAAGGGATTCAGGAAAAATGAGATTTGGACTTGAGTCTGGAGGTGGGAGTACAGTGCTTGCACTCTGAAGGAGGGGTGTTGATATTGCAGTTTTTGTAACTGAATTGTAGACATGCCTCTGGCAAGACAGTGATGGAGTGAATGATGATGAAAGTGTTTCTTCCTTTTCGGGTCACCTTGCCTTGGTGGGAAATGGCCAATGTGCTAATAAGAAAAAAAATTGATAAATAACACTTTCCACAACAGACATGTACCTTTCCTGTGTTATGGATAGGATTTCTTGTAATAAGTGTGTTATGTTGACAGAGTTTTCTCCTGAGAATACTGTCCACATTGATAAGAAATACTCCTACTGTTATAAGACAAAATCACCAGGTTTTCATATCACTGATATCAGCAAGTAATCCATTAAGTTAGCAGCTTCAGTGACTTATTAAACCATAACCAAATGTAACTATGAGTTATGCAATGTATTTTAGGTTTAGTTTAAATCGTTTACTTTGACTAAGTCAGGTTAGGTTATACTAGGTTAGTACCTGCTGATAGTATTACTAAATATACATGAGAATTTCTCACCAGTAGGCGTACATTGGAGACTTCTCCTGACCAACAACTTGGGGACATTAATTGCATTCTTGCTATCCTACCATTAGAGGCTTTTCTAGTCTGTGCACACACACATACTGTTAACTTATACATTTTAATATCATGGGAAGTTATCCCAGTCCAAACCACTATCCTTCCCCATAAAAACTTCTTAAATCACAACCAAAACTTAGCTTCAGGGCAAAGCAGGGTGTCTTAAGATGTACTGATGTCTTAGTCACACAACACACTCTTACACAAATTATGTATGCTGTGATTCTGTTCGCCAATCCATTGGTAGTGCTGCTGTTGTCATACTGAGTGATGGCTCTCTAAGAAATTGGAGCACCCATCAATAACTGGGCCCCTACCCTACAACTAAACTGTTTATCATACTCCTGCACTTAAATGTGTCCATGTATCTATGGTTGATGCTTTAATTGTTACTTGTTCTTTATCATCCATAAATACTTTTAACTCCTTAAGTATCAACTGTGGCACGATTATGTCAAAAACCAGAAACAGGTGTGGTTGGACTGTGGACAGTGGAGTCAGCATATACCTGATGATTCCATCTCACATTAGTCTTTAGATGCATAATACAACTGATGAATTGGCAAAGTCATATACCTTCAAAGAGGAAGTATATCACAATCTTGGGCTGACAAGTAGTAGTTTGAGAATAATATGAAAAGAATTTCAACTGAATTTTATTGACTAAGGAGATTGACACCAGTCAGTCCATTATCATTCAGGAGGAGCCACATGTCTATGGTGCATCCAACAAAATAAGCAGATGCTTTGATGTCACTACCACCAGGCTTTGGCTGGATTATGAGTATCTCTGGGAGGTTAAATCACTATCACCAGAGAAGATTTTGTTAGGATTTTTAACCCCAGAGGGTCAGCCACCCAGGATAGACCAAGAAAGGCAGTGCATCATCGAGGGGCTATCTGCCTCATTTTCACTGGGGTCCTCAATCTTCTTCCCCAGGATGCGACCGACACCAGTCGATTTACACCCAGGTACCTACTTACTTGCTTGGTGAATGGGGACAGTAGGAGTAAGGAACCATACCCAATGTTTCCACTCTCGCCGGGGAGCGAACCACAGACACCGTCTACTCACCTACTTGTGGTTGCAGGGGTCGATTCATGGCTCCTAGCTATGAGGTAAGCATTGCCTACCAGGCTACAGGACACCAAACAAAATGTTAAGTTTGCCAGATGGAGAATTTATGTACTTTGCAGTATCATGTGCTGGAATGTGATAAAAGTAATGAATTCAGAGACAACTCAGAATTATTCAGGAAATGCGAAAATATTTTGTCTACAGCGGTATATTACCAACCATTCTGGAAAAATACCCAGACTTTGCCCACTGTAAATAACGCACAACCACTTACTTTTTATTACAAGCATATCTTGCTGAAATATAAGGTGATGTTTCCGTACTTTGGGGGGCCTAATTCATGTCTGCATATATAACTCATTACGATTGCTAGCGCACTCAGCTCACACACTGAGGTCTGGGGGCCGATCCCCGGTACGGGTGGAAACATTAGGATGCGTTTCCTTAAGACACCTGCTGTCCAAGTTTACCTATAGTAAAACAGGTGTTAGTGGACTGGTGTGGGTCGCATCCTGCGACAAAACTGACCTAATTTGCTTGAAATGCTCAGCATAACAAGCGGCTTTCTATATAGTAATATGCCATTGATGTCAGCTAGGACTGTATACCTTGTACATATACTTGTAGAAATAAAGATTATTATTATTATTATTCTAAACATACAAATACTTCATTACCGCTAAAACTTGCTTAGTTATTAAAACTTTGCTGCCCAGTCCATCCCCCATCATCTCCCTCTGTATTATTTTCACAACCACACCACATGATGTGGAACTCGACAATAAATACTTACTGTTTTCTGCTTCTTACAATCCGTATTCATGGTGTTTAAACGTCCAAAACCGGCAGCCACACCTCCACGTAGTGTTGTTGTTCTTGTTCTTAAGGGCCACCTGGCAATGAACTGTTTCCCAGACTTGTTGATGGGTGAAGAGGGAGTTGTCATGTGTCTCTTTATACAGATCCTCCCCGACTTCCCACCTACGCGACTTCTGTCCTCACATACGACAAAAAAAATATATACGATAAATTAGAAAAATAAAACAAATATATGTACGCAAATATAGAAAATAAAGGTGTCCTGTAGCTCGATTGCTAGATCACTCAGCTCATACACTGAAGTCCGAGGATCGATCCCCGGTACGGATGGAAAAACATTTGGAAGTGTTTCCTTAAGACACCAGTTGTCCATGTTCACCTATCAGTAAAATAGGTACCTGGGTGTTAGTGTAGCAACTGGTATGAGGCGCATTATGGGGACAAAACTGACTTAATTTGCCCGAAATGCTCTGCATAACAAGGTGTTTTCTGTATATTAGTATGTTATTGATATAAGCTAGGACTGTACACCTTCTACATGTACTTGTAGAAATAAAGATTATTATTATTATGATGATGATGATGATTTTATTATAACTATACATACTGTACTGTTACCTGGAGAGAGCTTCGGGGGTCAACGCCCCCGCGGCCCGGTCTGAGACCAGGCCTCATGGCAGATCATGGTCTGATCTCCAGGCTGTTACTGCTGGCCGCACGCAAGCTGACGTATGAACCACAGCCCGGTTGGTCAGGTACTGACTTTAGGTGCCTGTCCAGTGCCTTCTTGTTAAAACCATAAAAAAGACTAAGAAGGTAAAAGAGAATGTTGAAATAATGAGTAACATGAAAAATTGATTGGCCTGACCTAGTCTACATTCCATACAGCATTTTTATTTGTGAAGCCTATGAATGATACCTACAAGTGAGGAACATCAGTTTGTGAATAATGAAACTTAAGGAAATAAAGCAAATTGATAAAAATAAACGAAATAATCATAAGAGAAATTTATTAGGTTAAAAGAATATTGTACAGGCATACGACTTCTATACGTCATACTAACTTAATTCCGACATCAATCCGTTTCGAGATCCGACCGGTCGGTCACGGAATTCAGACAAAAGTCAGGGAAGATGTGCATGTGTGTTTGTGTGTGTATGTATATATATATATATATATATATATATATATATATATATATATATATATATATATATATATATATTATATATATATATATATATATATATATATATATATATATATATATATGTATATATATATATATATATATATATATATATATATATATATATATATATATATATATATATATATATATATATGTGCAAAACAACCACTGTGAAAGTTAGTTAGTTATTTTAATATGTTTATTATGCACCCCATACCCATCCTGTGGGCGGTAGTCAAAAGATTACAGAGGTACATAATGGGTCCAGGGACTGGGCCTCAAAGTTTTGATAGCTGAGCAAGTTACAGAGGTAATGAATTCACAATTTACAAAGGTAATGAACTCCAGGTAGGTCTAGTCACAATCATGACAAGTTACAAAGGTATTTACAGATTACAGAGGTACACAATGGGTCCAGGGACCGGGCTCCAAAGTTTTGATGGCTGAACTAGGTACGAGGTAATGAACTCACAAGTTACAAAGGTAATGAACTCACAAGTTACAACCTGGAGTTTACCTGGAGAGAGTTTCGGGGGTCAACGCCCCCGCGGCCCGGTCTGTGACCAGGCCTCCTGGTGGATCAGCGCCTGATCAACCAGGCTGTTGCTGCTGGCTGCACGCAAACCAACGTACGAGCCACAGCCCGGCTGATCAGGAACTGACTTTAGTTGCTTGTCCAGTGCCAGCTTGAAGACTGCCAGGGGTCTGTTGGTAATCCCCCTTATGTGTGCTGGGAGGCAGTTGAACAGTCTCGGGCCCCTGACACTTATTGTATGGTCTCTTAACGTGCTAGTGACACCCCTGCTTTTCATTGGGGGGATGGTGCATCGTCTGCCAAGTCTTTTGCTTTCGTAGTGAGTGATTTTCGTGTGCAAGTTTGGTACTAGTCCCTCTAGGATTTTCCAGGTGTATATAATCATGTATCTCTCCCTCCTGCGTTCCAGGGAATACAGGTTTAGAAACCTCAAGCGCTCCCAGTAATTGAGGTGTTTTATCTCCGTTATGCGCGCCGTGAAAGTTCTCTGTACATTTTCTAGGTCGGCAATTTCACCTGCCTTGAAAGGTGCTGTTAGAGTGCAGCAATATTCCAGCCTAGATAGAACAAGTGACCTGAAGAGTGTCATCATGGGCTTGGCCTCCCTAGTTTTGAAGGTTCTCATTATCCATCCTGTCATTTTTCTAGCAGATGCGATTGATACAATGTTATGGTCCTTGAAGGTGAGATCCTCCGACATAATCACTCCTAGGTCTTTGACGTTGGTGTTTCGCTCTATTTTGTGGCCAGAATTTGTTTTGTACTCTGATGAAGATTTAATTTCCTCATGTTTACCATATCTGAGTAATTGAAATTTCTCATCGTTGAACTTCATATTGTTTTCTGCAGCCCACTGAAAGATTTGGTTGATGTCCGCCTGGAGCCTTTCAGTGTCTGCAATGGAAGACACTGTCATGCAGATTCGGGTGTCATCTGCAAAGGAAGACACGGTGCTGTGGCTGACATCCTTGTCTATGTCGGATATGAGGATGAGGAACAAGATGGGAGCTAGTACTGTGCCTTGTGGGACAGAGCTTTTCACCGTAGCTGCCTCGGACTTTACTCTGTTGACGACTACTCTCTGTGTTCTGTTAGTGAGGAAATTATAGATCCATCGACCGACTTTTCCTGTTATTCCTTTAGCGCGCATTTTGTGCGCTATTACGCCATGGTCACACTTGTCGAAGGCTTTTGCAAAGTCTGTATATATTACATCTGCATTCTTTTTGTCTTCTAGTGCATTTAGGACCTTGTCGTAGTGATCCAGTAGTTGAGACAGACAGGAGCGACCTGTTCTAAACCCATGTTGCCCTGGGTTGTGTAACTGATGGGTTTCTAGATGGGTGGTGATCTTGCTTCTTAGGACCCTTTCAAAGATTTTTATGATATGGGATGTTAGTGCTATTGGTCTGTAGTTCTTTGCTGTTGCTTTACTGCCCCCTTTGTGGAGTGGGGCTATGTCTGTTGTTTTTAGTAACTGAGGGACGACCCCCGTGTCCATGCTCCCTCTCCATAGGATGGAAAAGGCTCGTGATAGGGGCTTCTTGCAGTTCTTGATGAACACAGAGTTCCATGAGTCTGGCCCTGGGGCAGAGTGCATGGGCATGTCATTTATCGCCTGTTCGAAGTCATTTGGCGTCAGGATAACATCGGATAGGCTTGTGTTAGTCAAATTTTGTGGCTCTCTCATAAAAAATTCATACTGTAAGAATGGTTACTTACGTTTATACATGGCTGCAATCATGAACAAATTTTAGAGTAATGAGCAATTCACACTTCCACACCCGGTCACAACTGGAGTGAGTTATTGGTGCAAATGTTGATTGCTGAGTCTCTCACACACACACACACACACACACACACACACACACACACACACACACACATACAAATTCATACACACACACACATAAACACACACACACACACACACACACACACACACACACACACACACACACACACATACATACATACACAAACTCATACACACACACGCACACACACTCATACACACACTACGGGGATTGTCCTATGAAGAAAGGTTGAGGGAAATCGGCCTGACGACACTGGAGGCCAGGAGGGTCAGGGGAGACATGATAACGACATATAAAATACTGCGCGGAATAGACGAGGTGGACAAAGACGGGATGTTCCAGAGATGGGACACAGACACAAGAGGTCACAATTGGAAGTTGAAGACTCAGATGAATCAAAGGGATGTTAGGAAGTATTTCTTCAGTCATAGAGTAGTCAGGCCATGGAATAGCCTAGAAAGTGATGTGGTGGAGGCAGGAACCATACATAGTTTTAAGGCGAGGTATGATAGAGCTCATGGGGCAGGGAGAGAGAGGACCTAGTAGCAATCAGCGAAGAGGCGGGGCCAGGAGCTGTGACTCGACCCCTGCAACCACAAATAGGTGAGTACAAATAGGTGAGTACACTCATACACACACACACACTCATACTCACACACACACACACACACACACACACACACACACACACACACACACACACACACACACACACACACACACACACACACACAAGAGGTATGTGAGGAGCTCAACACGAGATTTAAGGAAGTATTTACAGTAGAGACAGGAAGGACTCTGGGGGGACAGACCAGATGGGGACACCAACAAGGAATACACCAACAAGTGTTGGACGACATACATACAGATGAGGAGGTGAAGAAACTGCTAAGGGACATCGATACCTCAAAGGCAATGGGACCGGACAACATCTCTCCGTGGGTCCTTAGAGAGGGAGCAGATATGTTGTGCATACCACTTAACACAATCTTCAACACATCCCTGGAAACTGGGCAACTACCTGAGGTATGGAAGACGGCAAATGTAGTTCCCATTTTCAAAAAAGGAGACAGAAAAGAGGCACTAAACTATAGACCTGTGTCATTGACGTGTATAGTATGCAAAATTATGGAGAAGATTATCAGGAGGAGAGTGGTGGAGCACCTGGAACGGAACAGGAGTATAAATGCCAACCAGCACGGATTCACGGAAGGCAAATCCTGTGTCACAAACCTTCTGGAGTTTTATGATAAAATAACAGAAGTAAGACAAGAGAGAGAGGGGTGGGTTGATTGCATCTTCTTGGACTGCAAGAAGGCCTTTGACACAGTTCCTCACAAGAGATTAGTGCAGAAGCTAGAGCATCAGGCGCATATAACAGGAAGGGCACTGCAATGGATCAGAGAATACCTGACAGGGAGGCAACAACGAGTCATGGTACGTAATGATGTATCACAGTGGGCACCTGTGACGAGCGGGGTCCCACAGGGGTCGGTCCTAGGACCAGTGCTATTTTTGGTATATGTGAACGACATGACGGAAGGGTTAGACTCAGAAGTGTCCCTGTTTGCAGATGATGTGAAGTTAATGAGGAGAATTAAATCTGATGAGGACCAGGCAGGACTTCAAAGAGACCTGGACAGACTGGACACCTGGTCCAGCAAATGGCTTCTCGAATTTAATCCTGCCAAATGCAAAGTCATGAAGATAGGGGAAGGGCACAGAAGACCACAGACAGAGTATAGGCTAGGTGGCCAAAGACTGCAAACCTCACTCAAGGAGAAAGATCTTGGGGTGAGTATAACACCGATCATGTCTCCGGAAGCACACATCAATCAGATAACTGCTGCAGCATATGGGCGCCTGGCAAACCTGAGAACAGCATTCCGATACCTTAGTAAGGAATCATTCAAGACACTGTACACCGTGTATGTCAGGCCCATACTGGAGTATGCAGCACCTGTTTGGAACCCGCACTTGATAAAGATAAGATAAGATAAGATTTCGTTCGGATTTTTAACCCCGGAGGGTTAGCCACCCAGGATAACCCAAGAAAGTCAGTGCGTCATCGAGGACTGTCTAACTTATTTCCATTGGGGTCCTTAATCTTGTCCCCCAGGATGCGACCCACACCAGTCGACTAACACCCAGGTACCTATTTGCTGCTAGGTGAACAGGACAACAGGTGTAAGGAAACGTGTCGAAATGTTTCCACCCGCCGGGAATCGAACCCGGGCCCTCCGTGTGTGAAGCGGGAGCTTTAGCCACCAGGCCACCGGGCCACCAAAAGCACGTCAAGAAACTAGAGAAAGTACAAAGGTTTGCAACAAGGTTAGTTCCAGAGCTAAGGGGAATGTCCTATGAAGAAAGATTAAGGGAAATCGGCCTGACGACACTGGAGGACAGGAGGGTCAGGGGAGACATGATAACGACTTATAAAATACTGCGTGGAATAGACAAGGTGGACAAGGACAGGATGTTCCAGGGAGGGGACACAGAAACAAGAGGCCACAATTGGAAGTTGAAGACACAAATGAGTCAGAGAGATAGTAGGAAGTATTTCTTCAGTCATAGAGTTGTAAGGCAGTGGAATAGCCTAGAAAATGACGTAGTGGAGGCAGGAACCATACACAGTTTTAAGACGAGGTTTGATAAAGCTCATGGAGCGGGGAGAGAGAGGGCCTAGTAGCAACCGGTGAAGAGGCGGGGCCAGGAGCTAGGACTCGACCCCTGCAACCACAAATAGGTGAGTACAAATAGGTGAGTACACACACACACACACACACACTGTGAAAGAATAGAGAAAAGCCCAAGCGCATTCGTGACTACTCACATTATCACCGAGTGAGAAAGGTTGGATCTGAGAGGGACTGACTCAGTAAGTTTGCTACACTGCCTCTCAATGATTAGTTAATTTAGTTTAATATCTATTATGCACCCCATGCTCATCCTGTGGGTGGTAGTCAAAGGATTACAGAGGTACATAGTGGGTCCAGGGACTGGGCCCAGAAGTTTTGATAGCTGAATAAGGTACAAAAGTAATGAACTCCGGGTAGATCTGGTCACAATCATGAACAGGTTACAAGGTAATGAACTCCAGGTATTACACTGTTACATCTACTAATGTTATAACTAAATGGGCAGCATCAGCAATTTCATATTTTATTTTAGGAAACTGGTTACACCACATTGTAGGAATTAGTGCAGCGAAGATTAAGGAAAACTTGCCCACACGTTTCGCTGGTCCGAGGGTTCGAACGCGAGACCTTTCGGTTGTGAGCCAAATGTCACTCATTCAGTTAAGATTTATTCGGATTTTTAAGCCGGAGGGTTAGCCATTCAGGATAACCCAAGAAAGTCAGTACATTATCGAGGACTCTTGTCTTATTTCCATTGAGATCCTTCAATCTTGTCCCCCAGGATGCGACCCACACCAGGTGTAAGGAAATGTGTCCAGTGTTTCTACTAGGCCGGGGATTGAACCATGTTCACTCAGTGTGAGGCGAGAACGTTGCCTACTGAACCACCGACTTTAATGCTCATATCATCATGGAAATTAGAATAAAAATGAAGTTTATTTCTAAAAATCTTTTTAATAGTTACAAATAGACACAAGCTATTTGGAAAGCCATCGTTTATACAGAGCATTTCGGCATGTTAAAAATATGGCTCTCATCAGGACTTAAAATTAACCCCTCAAGGAAGACTCCTTGACGCTGGTGAGGGGCTCTTGATCTAGGGAATTGGATCTGTGCTCCAGTTCCCTGAATTAAGCCTGAATGCCTTCCATCCCCCCATAGGCGCTGTATAATCCTACGGGTTTAGTGCTTCCCCCTTGATTATAATAATAATAATAATCATCAGGACTTAAAATTAAGAAAACAATTTATTTTTTTTTATTTTTATTTTTTTACAATTTGAGCACACATACAGAGGCACACATACAGAGGAAAGGTTTATACATATAAATTTACACGTCAATAATATGATTCGTTTAATTAGGAAAATGCGGGTATATATTATGGAATGATCAGGCATGTTACTTTCTTTCTTTGTACTTAACAATATTTTATAATTTAATTTAATTTAATGAAATAATTGTTGTGTAGTTTTGAGAGGTATATCTATAAGGTTTACTATTTTGAGTAAAGTGTGGAATATGTTACACTCTAGTTAATTTAGGAGTAAGTTTAAAGTATTTGATCCTACGAGAGTTGTCCACGTCAGCTTCATTACTGAGTCTATTGCCAGGAGAAAGTCCTATGAGACACTTTATTGTGTATTATATATATGTACTGTATATTCTAATAATTACACGCTTTCAAATTAAGGTAAAAAATATAGTACTTTAAACCCAAAATGTTTTATTTCTGATTTCATAGATAAAATAATTTTTGGGAGTAGAGTCGGGATTATAGTTGTTGTTTGAGTGTTGAGTGAGTCAGGTGGCGGCCAGACAACAGCAGTCAAAACATCAACATGATCAACAAATATACCTATATATTCCTCTTATTGGCCATATTTTGTACCTTTGCTAACTCCTTGTATTTTCACATTGGGGAAACTGAAAGAAAATGCTTTATTGAAGAAATTCCGGACGAAACGATGGTGACAGGTGAGTGTGACATGACAGTCTTAAAGCTGTGTATTAATATTGCTAGAATTACCGACAATATGTTAAGTAGAAGGATGTAAAGTTAGTGATGTAGAGCACCTCCAGGCAGGTTCCTGGGTGCTGGGGACGGGATCTTTACTTAAAGAATTGGACCTGTGCTCCCCTTCCTTGGATCGAACCTGAATGCCTCCCACTTCCCCAGGCGCTGTATAATCCCTACCGGTTTAGCTCTCCATGAATGTAATACTCGTCTCGGGACCACATCTGGTCCTGTCACTGGTCTGGGGACCACACCTGGTCCTGTCACTGGTCTGGGGACCACACCTGGTCCTGTCACTGGTCTGGGGACCACACCTGGTCCTGTCACTGGTCTGGGGACCACACCTGGTCCTGTCACTGGTCTGGGGACCACACCTGGTCCTGTCACTGGTCTGGGGACCACACCTGGTCCTGTCACTGGTCTGGGGACCACACCTGGTCCTGTCACTGGTCTGGGGACCACACCTGGTCCTGTCACTGGTCTGGGGACCACACCTGGTCCTGTCACTGGTCTGGGGACCACACCTGGTCCTGTCACTGGTCTGGGGACCACACCTGGTCCTGTCACTGGTCTGGGGACCACACCTGGTCCTGTCACTGGTCTGGGGACCACACCTGGTCATGTCACTGGTCTGGGGACCACACCTGGTCCTGTCACTGGTCTGGGGACCACACCTGGTCCTGTCACTGGTCTGGGGACCACACCTGGTCCTGTCACTGGTCTGGGGACCACACCTGGTCCTGTCACTGGTCTGGGGACCACACCTGGTCCTGTCACTGGTCTGGGGACCAACCTGGTCCTGTCACTGGTCTGGGGACCACACCTGGTCCTGTCACTGGTCTGGGGACCACACCTGGTCCTGTCACTGGTCTGGGGACCACACCTGGTCCTGTCACTGGTCTGGGGACCACACCTGGTCCTGTCACTGGTCTGGGGACCACACCTGGTCCTGTCACTGGTCTGGGGACCACACCTGGTCCTGTCACTGGTCTGGGGACCACACCTGGTCCTGTCACTGGTCTGGGGACCACACCTGGTTGTGTCACTGGTCTGGGGACCACACTTGTCCTGTCACTGGTCTGGGGACCACACCTGGTCCGGTCACTTGCCTGGAGACCACACCTGGTCCGGTCACTGGTCTGGGGACCACACCTGGTCCGGTCACTGGTCTGGGGACCACACCTGGCCCTGTCACTGGTCTGGGGACCACATCTGGTCCTGTCACTGGTCTGGGGACCACATCTGGTCCTGTCACTGGTCTGGGGACCACATCTGGTCCTGTCACTGGTCCAGGGACCACATCTGGTCCTGTCACTGGTCCGGGGACCCCCACCCGGTCCTGTCACTGGTCCGGGGACCCCCACCCGGTCCTGTCACTGGTCCGGGGACCCCCACCCGGTCCTGTCACTGGTCCGGGGACCCCCACCCGGTCCTGTCACTGGTCTGGGGACCCCACTTGGTCCTGTATGAGCAGCTCTGGTACCCAGCCTATCTAAAGACAGAAGTGTGGGGTTGGGTGAAAATGGTAAAAAAAAAAAAAAAATTGCGAAGATTAACCCTACTTGTGTTGTGCATTAGACCTCCCAAAATTATAGCCATGCTGAATTTCAGGCAGGTATGCACATTTTCATGGCATCTCTTAAAATAACACTAGCTGCTATTTCCACTGTAATATACCATGAAAATGTCCAACCATTTTGGGGCATATGCAAAATAATTTTTTTTTATTTTACCAGGCAATTATAAACTACAGTTGTATGATCCACGCACAGGAGGTTTCATGCCATCTTCTCCAGGACTTGGTATGCATGTGGAAATTAGGGACCCAGATGACAAAGTTCTTCTATCTAGAGTGAGTTCTTTTTTAAATTCTGTTCTTTCTTTCTATTACTTATAAAATTAGCAGCAGCAGTAGTAGTACTAGAATTAATATTTAATCAGTTAATCAAACCCGTATTTTTGTAACTGTGTGTGTATGGCTGATTTTTCTTACTTTTTTTATTATATGTAAATATATTAAAATGTACTGCTTCATAACCTGTGTCAGTATTGATTAAGAATTAGGATTAGTCTGCCCAAAATGCCTAGGCATGCTAGTGGCCTTCTTTGTAATTAATATTTTATAATATGTAAACCACACATTGTAAGCTTTGCAAGGAAATAGACATTTTCATTTTCATTTTCAAATGTGTGTGAACATGTGTCTTTGAAGAGTTGTATTTGCCGAGTTGTGTTTATGAGGGTTCAGACTCTACTCCTGTCCCTACCTTGTAAGCTACTGTACTTTGAAATGTATCAATGTTTTCTGGCCTCTTGGGCCTTATCATATCTTCTCCAAAAGGTGCATGTTGAATTTGCCTCCACAACTACAGGTATACTTCATTAATACGGTCCTTGTTTTAGAGTGCTTCACTAATATGGCTCTTTACGATTTTTTTTTAACACGTCGGTAGTCTCCCACCGAGGCAGGGTGACCCAGAAAGAAAGAAAATCCCCAAAAAGAACAATAGTTTCATCATCATTCAACACTTTCACCTCACTCAAACATAATCACTGTCTTTGCAGAGGCACTCAGATACGACAGTTTAGAATATATGTATATATTCTTTTTTTCTTTTTAGTAAGCTATACAGGAAAAGGGGTTACTATCCCATTGTTCTCGGCATTTTAGTTGACTTTTACAACACTCATGGCTTACGGAGGAAAGATTCTTATTCCACTTCCCTATGGATATGAAAGGAAAAGCAATAAGAACAAGAACTATTAAGTTAAAATCGAAGAAAACATTGATGACTGTGTATACATAAATGTGTACATGTACGTGTAGTGTGACATAAGTGTAAGTAGAAGTAGCAAGATGTACCTAAAATCTAAAGGCTTAATGAGCAGTTTGTGGTTTCGTGGTTTCAGCTTGTACTTGCACCTGCATGGCTTAATCTTTGAGACAAACATATGACTACTGCCAGGATAGACATTTATATTCATGTTTATTATTTTTGGCACTTGCCTTGCTCTTCAGATGGTTTTTGGCAATTTTAAAATTTTCTTTATTATTTTTTACGTTTACACGTTTTTTTTTAGGACTAGTGTTATTGCACATTTAATAAATAATAATGTAAACATGTGGAAAACAAGGCTGTGATTTGCTTTACGGCCCATGGCCAGGCTCCGAGAGTAGTTAAACTCTCGAAACTCTTCAAAGGTATAGCAGTCTAGAGCCTAACCCACCATATCAGTGAGGTATGCTTGTATTGTGTAAATTTTAGCAACTTTATATTTGGAGCAAAAGGCCTGGGAGGCTTCGGCATGAGGAAATGGGTCTGTGTGGTCTTTGTGTGCAGCTTACAAAAAATAGGGGTTGCTGCAATGCAAAATGGAAATGCTGTGCAAATACAGAATTGCTGATTATGCTTGCACCTACACAATTCTCACTTCCAGGTGAATTAAGTGTCTTAATCATTGCTGATAGCTCCAACAATGAGGATATGAAATCTGAAAGACTTTTACTGTTTTGAAACAGTGACTGAAAGCGACAGGAAAATGCTGGGAATAGTTCTGTAGGTCCAAGTGACCCCTAACCATGTACTGCAGGCATCAGTGCAGCCACAAGACCAAATGGTTTGGGCACATATTTGAGTAGTAGTAATTAGGGATGGGAAGATACCAGAATTTTTGCTGCTACAGATATAATAATAAATAGCCAACATCCACTGATTCCTATAGATGCCATTATTGATAATTTATCACACCCGTTGTGATTACAGTGATGCTAACTTTGATTTGATGATCATACAAATAAAAGTGTTAATGAGTGTTCATCTTGAGTCAGTTTATTCATTGATGCATGTTGTCTGGTAGTGTCATTAAGGCTACTGCCAAGGGACATAGGAGATCATATGACCAAACTCCATTGAGTTGCCATACCTGCAGCACTAGTTGATGCGACACCAGTGCCAGCCCCAGCAGTTTAAAGGTAAATTTTAGGTGTTGTGACATCAAAAGGGTTAATTTAAGCAGTAGGTACTTACCTGCTCTCTTAATAGTCCTTAAGATTTCACATATTGTAATCACTTTCCCAACCCTTTCCCATCCCATTAGTCTTTTAAATTGAGGTTTTACTGGTATATTAATCATCATAATACAGTAGGGCTCCATTTTACGGTGTTTCGCCTTAGTGTTCCACTAATACGGCAATTTCAAATCATGACCAAAATTTGCTATACGGCAAGTGGTCTTTCAAATACGGCTCGCCCCACCCGGTTTGTTTACATTCTTCGTGAGCACATCTATTATGCCTGGAAGCTTTCCAAAATTTCAAGTGTTTTAAAGTTATTGCATATTTTATATGTATTCTGATAATTATGTTTGTGTACCTGTACCTAAATATACTTACGCACTGTGCTGGCATGTAGGTACACATTAAAATCACTAAGAGTGTCTCTACTCATGATGCCATAGTAATACTGTACATGTACATACTATGTAATAATCTCTCTTGGGCACATTAAATGTCTTATTTTATGTTAATAAAGACATTTTCATTAATCCATCTATGATATTTTCTTGAAAATTATATAAGAAACATGTTACATAACATATAAACATTAGACATGCACCCACAGAATAAAAATTGACATAAATATGAGATTTGTTTACAAAGCGGCTCTGTAGAAGTGTCGGAAGAATTACGTTTTCTCTAGTCAAACACTGGGGGATAACTGCAGATAGATATTCCTTTTGTATGCCTTCACTCTATATATAGCAATTCACAACCCTTGTGGGTTTAGTGCTCCTTTTTTATTATGATTATAATAATAATAACTTGCAATAATTACTTGTAATAATAATCATTTGTAATAATAATAATAATTTGTCAGAGCATCATTCCTTCTAAAAATTACATGAGAATGGAAGTGTTGGTCTTTATTTATTTTAATGTACCACTGTGGAGACAACTTGTACACAATGTAAGGTGTTTGTATGAATGTTTATGAACCATAACCAAATGCATTGTCTGTTTGTTTACATAGTGGGTGGGGTGGCCAGGCTGGCTTCCCTACACTACCCTACCTACCACACCACTTTCTACAGATAAATGCTTTTCACCTTTCACCCTACATTAAGACTACAAATATTTTAATGTAAGTAATGAGTGTACTGTATATGCATTTTATCACTAAGCATCGTCGTATATTATGTGTGGGTGGGGGTGGCCAGGAGGGCTACCACACCTAACTTCTTATAGTAAATAAGAACATAAGAACATAAGAAAGAAGGAACACTGCAGCAGGCCTACTGGCCCATGCGAGGCAGGTCCAAGTCTCCTCCCGGCTTAAGCCAATGCCCCAACCTAGTCAGGGCAGGTCACGTTCACTTAAGGAAGGAACACGCAACTGCCCTAGTAGCAAAGCTAGTGGGTCCAACTCAACCCACTATTATTTATCAGCCTTTTTTAAAACTACACAGCTTTTTAGCCTAATAATGTGCTCGGGGTTTTTTCCCACTACCCAACTCTTTAAAAACATGTTTTCCCTATACCCTTCCTGAATCTGAATTTTCCAACTTAAAACCATTCGCGAGTCCTGTCTAGGCTAGATTTTTTCAGCACGTTATTTACATCCCCTTTATTTTTCCTGCTTCCATTTATACCCTCAATCATACCCTCCTAATTCTACGTTTTTCTAGAGATGTAGATTCGGGGCTTAGTCTACCCTCATGGGGGAAGATTTCTGATCATGGGATCATCTTTTTTCATCCCCCTTTGTATTTTTTCCCAAAGCTTTTTATACCCAAATTCTATAATAGGGTGCAAAATACCAAAAAACCGAATAGGTCCAATTAAATACTTTTCGTTTATTTACCCTGATATAAAAGCTTCAGTATAAGACATAAGAACTAAGAACAAAGGGAAACACTGCAAAGGGGGGCCTTTCGGGCCCCATGCGAGGCAGGCCCCAAGTCCCCTTGGCTTAACCCAATGCACCCACCTGTCAGGTAGGTCCTTTGACAAAGGGGGGAAAACCGGCAACCGACCTGGTAGCACAAGCTACGGGTCCAACTCAAACCCCCCACTCCATCATGTATTTATCCAACCCATTTTTAAAATACACAACGTTCGGCCTCTATAACTGTACTTGGGAGTTTTTTCCCCTCATCCCCCAACTCTATTACCAAAAAACCAGTACTTTTCCCAATTCTTTTGAAACTGAATTTTTTTTTTTTCCAACTTAAAACCATTTGTGCGAGTCCTGTCTAGGCTAGATATTTTCAGCAACATTTTCATTTCCCCCTTTTTTTTTTCCTGTCTTCCATTTATAACCTCAATATATCCCCCTAATTCTTAGTCTTTTAGGAGTGCAGATTAGGGCCCTTGTTTCCCTCATGGAAAGGGTTTTTGATACATGGGTCAACTTTGTCATCCCCCTTTGAAAATTTTCCCGAGCATTTTATCATTCTTAATACGGTGACCCCAAAATGTGCAGCATAATCTAAAAGAGGCCTAACCCAAGGTGTTAGAGTTGAAGAAAAAACCGGGACTCCTATTATTTATGTTTTGTATAAAGCAAAGGTTCTATTACTTTATTTCGAAAAAATTGGCACTGTTGCTTGGGTTTTAGATTCTGCTAACAGAACTCCTAAATTTTTTCGCAATCCGTAAAATTAAAATTTACATTATTTTTTTTATATGTGGCATGGTTATTGTCCTGTCCAACATTTAGAACTTTGCATTTGTCTATATTAAACTGCAACTGCCACTTCTCCGACCACTGCATCAGTCTATTCAAATCTTCCTGGAGTGCTCGAATGCCCTCGTCAGAATGAATTCGACGGCCTATTTTGGTGTCATCGGCAAACTTGCCGATGTCGCTCTTTATGCCCTCATCTATGTCGTTTATGTAGATTGTGAACAGCAGGGGGCCCAACACTGACCCCTGTGGAACACCGCTCGTGATGCTTCCCCATTCTGATTTCTCCCCATTTATGCAAACTCTCTGCTGCCTATTTGTCAACCATGCCTCTATCCAGGAAAAAATTTCTCCTCTTATTCCATGTGCCTTAATTTTCCTCAATAGTCTCTAATGTGGGACCCTGTCAAAAGCCTTAAGTCCATATACACAATATCATATTCATTACCATGATCTACCTCCTCAAACACCTTAGTGAAAAAAGTTAATAAATTCGTAAGGCAGGAACGCCCCTTTGTAAAACCATGCTGAGATTCGTTGATTAATTTATGCTTTTCAAGGTGGCTACGAACTGCCTCGGCAATTATTGATTCCATAAATTTTCCCACTATGGAGGTTAGGCTTATTGGTCTATAGTTCGAAGCTAAGGACCTGTCACCTGCTTTAAAAATAGGTATCACATTTGTCATTTTCCACTTTTCTGGCACCATGCCAGTTTGTAGTGATATGTTGAAAAGATTAGCCAAAGATTTGCTAAGCTCCTCTTTACATTCCTTTAGAACCCTTGCATACAGTTCATCAGGGCCTGGGGATTTGTTAGGTTTTAATTTATCTATTTGCCTAAGGACCATGTCACTTGTGACTCTAATCATGCACAGTTTATTATGGTCCTGTTCTACATAATTTATCATTTCTGGAATATCGCTGGTATCCTCCTGTGTAAAAACTGAGAGGAAGTATGTGTTAAAAATTCTACACATTTCCTTATCACTGTCAGTGAGCTGACCCAAGGAACTTTTGAGTGGGCCTATCTTGTCCCTGATCTTACTTCTGTATACCTGAAAGAATCTTTTTGGGTTAGTCTTCGATTCTCTTGCAACTTTAACCTCATAATCTCTTTTTGCTTTTCTAATTCCCTTTTTTATTTCTCTCTTTAACTGAATATATCAATTTCTTAATTGCCCCTCTCCTCTTTTGATTTGCCTATACATGTATATGCCTCTCTTTTGACCAGTCAGATATTTTAATCTATTGTTCATCCATTTAGGATCATTTTTGTTTGATCTGATTTCCCTATTTGGAACATAATTTGACTGAGCAGCTAGAACTATGCCCTGGAAAGCATCATATCGGCAACCATCACCACCTACCTGACCCTTAGTCAGGTCATTCCAGTTCAGCCCACCTAAGTAATTTTTCAGTCTTATGAAATCAGCCAAGCGAAAGTCAGGGACGGAGACTTGATTGCCATTATTAGGGGAATTCCATGATATATTAAAACTGAGTGATTTGTGATCACTTTCCCCAAGCTCATCATTAACCTCAAGATTATTAATTAGTGTTTCCCTACTGGCAAGAACCAAGTCAAGGAGGTTATTTCCCCTAGTTGGCTCTGTCACAAACTGTTTTAAAAAACAATCCTGGATCGTATCAAGAAAGTCACCTGACTCTAAATTTCCTGTCAAATTGCTCCAGTCAATCTGTCTATAGTTGAAATCTCCCATTACCACAACATTTTCGTATGTAGATGCCTTACGAATTTCGTCCCATAGAAGTTTACTGCACTCCCTATCAAGATTTGGGGCCCTGTAAATCACACCCAAAATTAGTTTTTCTCAGCCCTCGAGAAGCTGTAACCAAACAGATTCAGTGGCTGACGCTTCTACTTTTATATCTTCTCTAACACAACAATTTAAATTGTCTCTGTCATACATCGCTACTCCACCACCCTTCCTGTTGACCCTGTCAGTGTAGAATAATTTATAGCCTTGTATATGACATTCAGAGGGCATCTCTCTATCTTTCAGATTGAGCCAGGTCTCTGTTATAGCAATAATATCTATGTTTCCTGCACTTGCAATTAATCTTAGCTCATCTATCTTATTTCTTACACTCCTGATATTAGTATAGTAAACCTTAAGGGAGCTAGTCCCTTGCTGTCCTCTGCTGTCCCCCTTTGTTTGCTGACCTGATCTATTGTCTTTATTTATAACTTCATGCTGAATGCCTTTTATACATTTACTGTTTCCAACCCTAGTGTTGCAACCTGCTTGTTTCCCACACACACCCATACCTCTATCTTCTGTCAGTTTAAAATCATAGGCATTTCACCAATGGCCTTCTCAATTGAGTTTGCAAGTGCTACCACCCCAGCCCCAGAGAGATGTACCCCATCCCTTGCATACATATCATGTTTGCCATAAAAGTTGTTCCAGTTGTCAATGAATGGGATTGCAAGTTCCTTGCAGTATCTGTCTAGCCAGCAATTTACACCAATTGCCCTAGACAACCATTCACTTCCTACTCCCCTTCTAGGCAAGATGCTACATATGATTGGGACCCCTCCCTTAGACTTAATGAAATCTATAGCTGACCTGTACTTACCTAGCAGCTCTTCTCTCCTACCCTTCCCAATATCATTTCCACCAGCACTGAGACAAATAATGCTACTCACCTTTTTCCCTACATTAAGACTACGAATATTTTGAGGTAAATAATGAGTGTACTGTGTGTGTATTTTACTTTTTATTGTTTTTTAATGCCTAAGTTCTATTGCTAACTTAATATATGTTAGTGTAAACTTGTTATATGGCATTTATATGCATTTATAAGTGGAAAAAAATGGCATTCTGCTTTCTGGCGAAGTCTGCTTTCCGGCAGTAGCCTGGAACCTAACCTGCCGTATAAGTGGAGACCTACTGTATATGTAGTATCTGTTACAAAGTCATTTTCTAATATTTATTATCATTCCAGGTGTACAGCAGTGAAGGCCGATTTACATTTACCTCACACACTCCAGGAGAGCATGTAATTTGTTTGTACTCTAACTCGACCAAATGGTTCTCAGGATCACAGCTGGTAGGTAATGTTTATAAGATGGTTAATGAAATTTTGACTTTGCCCCATTTCCCACTTTTCTTGGATGGGAATGCACTATGCCATCAAGGATATAAATTGGAGCAATTATAAGTGTAAAGACATTCATTAATACCCAACATTTTGGAATTGTAATATTTTACAAATGTGGTAGTAAAATATCCACAATTTTTAGTAGTTGGTATTTTATAAACTAGGTGTAGAGTACTGTACATAAACTAGTTAATTGTAGTCATTTTCCTTTAGTTGTTTTCATTAATATTCATGTGATTATATGTCCTGTTTACCTGCATATCACTTTTTTTCATGCTTGTGCCATCTGGTTTATGAGCAGCTCTGGGACAGACAGGTAGACAGAGAGATGGAGCTAGCCACCCAGCTTGCCGAACACGTATTACACGTTACAGAATCATTTCTCTTTACTTAGGGCATGGATTATAGAAGGTTCTGAGAGGATGAGACTACCAGTGGTTTCAGAAATGAAAGGATGTGGCACAAATGTTGCACATGGGTTATTCTCTAGGCTTTTGATATTTTCTCAACCACTTGTGGCCACATCCATCTTGCACCCCACTATACTCGGGGTCAACATTTTCCTCTTAACCCTTTGACTGTCGTGACCCCAAATCCTAAAGTGTCTCTCAGTGTCGCCAAAATATTAAAAAAATGTATAGTATATTTTTTCTCACGAAATGATAGAGAATTTTTTCCTGATGGTAATGACACCACGAGTACGAAATACAGTGGACCCCCGCTTAACGATCACCTCCAAATGCGACCAATTATGTAAGTGTATTTATGTAAGTGCGTTTGTACGTGTATGTTTGGGGGTCTGAAATGGACTAATCTACTTCACAATATTCCTTATGGGAAAAAATTCGGTCAGTACTGGCACCTGAACATACTACTGGAATGAAAAAAGTTCGTTAACCGGGGGTCCACTGTATAATGGAAAATTTATGTAATTAGACTCGCAAAGTTAGCGATCTCGGAGATATATATGCATTGGCGATTCCACCCACTTTGAACCCTATTTTCAGCCAATTCCATTACTCCAGTTGACCAAACTCAGCTATTTCTTTAGAACTCCATTTGTTCTATTGATTGAGTACAAGAAACCGCCCATTTACTGATTTCAACTACCCAATAAAGTGGTCAGAAATTGGCAATTTGGCCAATTTTGTGCAAATTAAAAAAGATGCCAATTTCAAAATAGGGTCCAGAATAAACATTACAGACATTCCTGGCACTAAAATAACATTTTCTCTGTTCGTTAGTCATGTCTCCAGGCCCCTCTTACATTACTCATGCTTTCTGTTATGCAGACTACTGCATTATTGTAATTGTATAAATAATGTCAACCCGTTCATGACTGCTTATTAGAATGGATAGTTGGACACGTATTGGGCGGTGATGTCATTTGTTTACTCTTGAACACCTGCAAAAATTGAACATTTCCACTACTTTGAGCTCAATTTCAAGGTCCTTTTCTTCATGAAACCAATCAAAATCATCTCTACTTCTGTAAAATGTCTTCCATTCTATCACATGAAACCAAGATAGCGAGAATACAGCCATAAATGCTGTACGAAAATACACCTCAGATTCGGCGTTTTAATCTAAAAACATGGTCGGAGTTTTCTTTTTCTCATGCACTGCGTGCTGCAGGATTTTTTTTTTATACTGTGCACACAGACCCATTCTCTCACATGTGGGCCTACCAGCTTTCTCCCGCTTGATTTGAACCTGCTTGAATTTTGGTGTATTAATACGTCAAAAACACTTGTTCGTAAGACGCATTTATATGACCAAGAAAGTCAAAGGGTTAAAAGGGGATTGTTAATATGACATGGCATAAGTGACTCCCTGGGGTTTGCCATGCTGTTTGCTCTAGCTGGCGCTCAGTTGAGTGTTAAGACCTGTTCTATACTGACAAGCCTCTCAGGCATTTTATACCAAATTTGGAGGTAGGAAAAATATAATGTCAGTCTACATTTCGAGCACTAGCAGTAAGAATGTAGATCAACGTTTGGATAGTTAAGAGGTTAAGTAAATTTCCTAAATTTGCTTGAAGCAGATAAGTGAACTGTAGATATAAATGCAGACGTATTCCTGTAAACCCTGTTGGGGCCTAGTTCCTAGGCCTTTTGCGTATCTATATGCTCTTGCATATAGCTTTGGGGTGCACAACAAACAGCTCCTTTGGCAGCAGAATCAATCATTCTTTCATCTTTTAGCTTAACCCTTTCAGGGTCCGTCCCGTAGATCTACGGCTTTACGTTCAGGGTCCAAACCGTAGATCTACGCCATGAGCTCAGCTCACTCTGATAAACTGTGAGTGGTACATTTGGGCCTAGATATGAGAGAATACATCTATGTGGTATGTGTGCACCACATAAAACAGATCCTGCAGCACACTGTGTATAATGAGAGAAAAAAAATGAAATCATGATTTTTCGATTAAAACAGCAACTTTGCAGTGTTTTTTCGTATGTTTTTTATAGTTGTATTTGCGATTTCTTGGTCTCATTTGATAGAATGGAAGACATATTACAGAAATAGAGATGATTTTGATTGGTTTTAGCATTGGAAATGGCTTGAAACTGAGCTCAAAGTAGCGGAAATGTTAAATTTTTGCCGATATTCAAGAGTAAACAAACGACCTCACACGTCTAATACACGTCAGCTGGTGGGTCTAATATACATTCACAAATATGGTGATGATATTTATACAATTATTACAGTATTGCATAACAGTAAATCTTCTATTTTTTGGTGTGAATAAAAATTCATTATGTGAATAAAAAATCAAAATGGAATTTATTTGTAAAGCCTCAAAACATAACTAATGAACAGAGGAAATGTTAGTTTAGTGCCAGGAATGCCTACATTGTTCATTCTGGACCCTATTTTGAAATTGGAATATTTTGAACTTTGTCTTAAATTGGCCAAATTAACAATTTCTGATCACTTTATTTTGTAGTTGAAACAGTTGACTTGGCGATTTCTTGTGCTCAATTGATAGAATAGAAGTAATACTAGTGAAATAGCTAAGAATTTGGTTGATTGGAATAATGTAATTGGCCTAAAATGGGAGTCAAAGTCGGCAAAATCGCCGATTCGTAAATATCGCTGACACATCAAAATTCACGAGAGTATAATTTCGTCAATTTTCCACCAAATTTCGTACTTTTTGTTTTATTACCTTCACAAAAAGATTCTCTACGATTTCATAAGAAAAAATAACAATTTTTTTTTTTTGAAAATTCTTGGACACTGGTGCGTGACTCCAGATTTGGGCCTTGGACCCTGAAAGGGTTAAATGGTGGGAATTTTTTTTCCACTTGTCTAAATTTGCTTGCACTCCAGGCTAATGTCATGGAACGATTTATAGATATGGATTACAAATTGTAAAAAATATATTTTGAATAGTTTCACTTTTACTGTGATAATGATTTATGCACTGAGTGAGTTGGTCACAACAGTAGAAAGTTAGTATTGATAGTGTAAATTTGATAATCATAACAAAGTTTAGTGTTGAATAACCAAAATGTTCTAGGGCATTTTAGATAAAATAAAACAGCCACCGAAACAACCGTAAAGGGGTCGAGTGTGGCATTCTGTGGTGATTTTTTTTTTAGTTTACCCTTAGTAAGGAGTAAGGCTAAGGAAATTGTGGCCCTGGAAAAAACAGAGATGACTTGTTAGAAGAGGATGAAGAACCACCTACAGTACAAATTAGAGAAATGCTGGAGGACTTCACTTCCCAATTAGGAGAGGCAGGTAGAAGAGGATGAAAAACTTGAAAGATAAACAGTTAACACTACAGGTTACTTGAACAGTTTAATGTTACTGGCAAATTGCAGACCTTTTCACTGAAAAAGGATTCTGGGCAGTGCAATTTATTTACTTATTTTTTATTTGGACATGATACATAGGTGTACAAAGAAATAGTGATTGGGTGTACATGCCTAAAGCCCCTTGTATGCAGAGCATTGTGGGCAGGCTTAAAAATAACTTAAGATTAACCCTTTGAGGGTTTCAGCCATACTAGTACGGCTTACGACCCAGGGTTTTTGACGTACTAGTACGCCTAAATTCTAGCGCCCTCAAATCTAGTGGGAGAAAGCTGGTAGGCATACATATGAAAGAATGGGTCTATGTGGTCAGTGTGCGCAGTATAAAAAAAATCCTGCAGCACACAGTGCATAATGAGAAAAAAAAACTTTGACCATGTTTTTGAAATAAAACGGCAACTTTGCACTGTATTTTCATATGGTATTTATTGTTGTATTCTAGTTTTCTTGGTCTCATTTTATAGAATGGAAGACATATTACAGAAATTGAGATGATTTTGACTGGTTTTACAATGAAAAGTACCTTGAAATTGAGCTCAAAGTAGCAGAAATGTTCGATTTTTACCAAAGTTCAAAAGTAAACAAATCATGCCAAGCGTCCAATACATGTCAACTGGTGAATCTAATATTCTTTCACAAGCGCACTGATATTATTTATACCATTTCTACACTAATGCAGCAGTCTGCATAACAGTAAATCTTCTATTTTTTGTAAGAATAAAAATTGAAAGTGGAAAGCCAAAGAAATATAAGAGGGGCCTGGGGATGTGACTAACGAACAGAGAAAATGTTATTTTAGTACCAGGAATGTCTTGTTTATTCTGGACCCTATTTGGAAATTGGCATCTTTCGAAATTTGTGTGAAATTGGCAAAATTGCTAAATTCTGACCACTGTATTGGATAGTTGAAATCAGTAAATGGGTGGTTTCTTGTACTCATTCAATAGAAAAAATGGAGTTCTAGAGAAATAGTTATGATTTTTGTCGACTAGTACACTGGAATTGGGCGAAAATAGGGCTCAAAGTGGGCAAAATCGCCGATGCGTAAACATCATCGAGACCGTTAACTTTGCGTGAGCATAATTCCATAAGTTTTCCATCAAATTTCATACTTTTGGTGTCATTATGATCGAGAAAAGATTCTCCATCTTTTCATAAGAAAAAATTTTTTTTTTTTTTAATTTGGCCGACCCTGAGAACAAGTCTTGGAGAGGGCCTGTCGACCCTCAAAGGGTTAACTAAGCAATGATATATTCAGTGGTAAAAACTACAGTAAACACATTACAACATGAAGTACAATTGAGTATTTCAAATAAGAAGCATTAAATTTGTACAAATTTGTAGCATAACAATGTATAATATAATCAAATCAGAACGAGTAAAATCAATGATTTGTAGTGCAGAAACAGGTCATATGGTCATTAGATGAGTTACTGTGCATTCAAGAGAATGGGGTATTCTATTGGGTAATGTAATTAAAAAAAAATAGTTTGATAGGGTCACAGGTTATACATTTATGAGATTCAGTTATTCAGTATTTATTTAGTTGTTGTTGAGTAAGTGGTATTTAAGAAGAGTCTTGAATTGATAAGCAGACAGTATTTCTTTTATATTCACAGGTAATGAATTCCAGATTTTTGGGCCTTTTATGTGAATTGAGTTTTTACATAGTGTGAGATGGACACGGGGAACATCAAAGAGTGATCTGTGCCTTGTGTTATGGTCATGTGTTCTGTTGGGGTTGTAAGGAGAAGTTTGAGGGGAGGGTTTATATCTGAGTTTAGTGTTCTATGTATGTAGTAGGCACAATAATAAGTATGGATGTTTTGTACAGTGAGTAAGTTTAGTTTTGAATATTGGTGGAGTATGCTGCCTGGAGTGGGAATTTGTTATCATTCTGACTGCAGCCTTTTGTTGGGTAATTAATGGTCTGAGATGATTTATTGTTGTTGAGCCCCATGCACAAATTCCATTGGTGAGATAGGGGTAAATGAGTGATTGATATAGGGCCAGGAGGACTGACTGTGGAACGTAGTACCGTATCTTCAGTAGTATGCCTACGGTCTTGGAGATTTTCTTGGAAATTTGTTTTACATGTGTTTGAAATTTGAGTCTATTATGAAGGTGGATTCCTAAGAATTTTCTCTCTGTGAGCTTTGTGATAGGTGATCCATTTATCATTATGTTAAGAGGAACATCTGTAGTTCTGTTCCCAAACTGAATGTAGTAGGTTTTGTCAATATTGAGAGTAAGTTTGTTAATCATCATCCAGGTAGATATTTTCTGTAATTCGGTATTTACAGTATTGGCTAGTATGACTGGTGGGAGAAGACGTATGTAGTGTCATCTGCAAATAGTGTGGGTTTGAGTAGTTGCGATGCATTTGGTAGGTCGTTTATGTAAACGAGAAAGAGAAGAGGGCCAAGGACACTTCCCTGTGGGACACCAACTGTAATTGGCTGTGTGGAAGAGTTTGCTCCATTTGTGTACACATATTGGCTTCTGTTGCTAAGGTATGACTTTAGGTAGTTGAGGGAGTGCCCTCATATACCATAGTGTGACAATTTTATGTGGAGCAAATCATGGTCAACTGTATCAAAAGCTTTACGTAAATCAATGAAGATCCCTAATGGGACTTCTTTTTGCTCGAGTGCAGTGTATCAAAAGCTGTACAAAGTACTGCAGGGTAAAACAGACTGGAGATGCATTACTGAATGCTGAAGCACTTCATAACACCCATCAACTACTTAAAACTGTGCATACACTTCAGCTGATGAGATCCATATCAGTCTTCTCCACATACTTTGTCAACAAGCAGTAACAACTAGAATGTAAGGAAAGATAAACTTAATTTTTACTTAAAAAAATGCTAGGCAAATTTTGAAGTCTGGCATGTAAACCTATTTTCCCCATATGTATGTTCTCCTTAACATAAATCTGTTTTTCATAAGGTGCAGATATTTAGGAACTTCTCCATGTTATGAGAGAGTTTAGTGTACATTTCTGGCAACATCTGTTAGTTTACCACCTTATTTCACTGATCCTTTATTGTGAAAATGTGTAGAAACATTAAGAAATTGCATGTACATTATTAAGATAACTTTTTTTTTTTTTTTTTAAATTTCAGCGTGTACACTTCGATATTCAAGTGGGTGAACATGCAATTGACTATGCTAATGTGGCACAAAAGGAGAAGCTGACAGAGTTGCAGTTGAGAGTAAGACAGTTACTGGATCAAGTAGACCAGATTTCCAAGGAGCAAAACTATCAGAGGGTAAGGCTAAAGTTGACTTTTGCGGTACAGGTACATATTAATATGGACACATGGAGAAGGAATGAGCATGTGTGAGGGAGAGGTGGGAATAGTGTAAGAGTATATGAGAAAGACAAAGACAAAATTTATTTCTTTGCAAAGATTACAAGGTGTGATTACATTGTATAATTTGTTAGGTACAAGGAAAGCCACTGTCATGCTGGGGCATTTCGGGCAGGCTAATCCTAATACAGTGGACCCCCGCATACCGATTTTAATCCGTGCAAGAGGGCTCATTGGTATGCGAAATAATCGGTATGCGAATGAATTTTCCCCATAAGAAATAATGGAAATCAAATTAATCCGTGCAAGACACCCAAAAGTATGAAAAAAAAATTTTTACCACATGAAATATACATTTTCCTACACACAAAGAGAAGGATACATGCACAATAGTAGAGTAGTACATGCACAGTATATATTGTGCATGTACTAGTCTACTAAATGAAGAATAAATGACACTTACCTTTATTGAAGATGCAGCAATGACTGATGAGACACTGTGTCCTGGGAGTGCCTTTTCCTCCTGAGTACTGTAGGTCCTGTTTGGTATTTTCTTCCAGAACATGCCTTATCACACTGTGTATGTCACTACAATTCTTAAATCTCTCAAACCAACCTTTGCTGGCTTTAAATTCACCAATATGAGCACTAGTTCCAGGCATTTTTCCCTGTTCACCTGGGTGTTAGTCGACTGGTGTGGGTTGCATCCTGGGAGACAAGATTAAGGACCCCAATGGAAATAAGTTAGACAGTCTTCGATGACACTGACTTTTTTGGGTTATCCTGGGTGGCAAATCCTCTGGGTTAATTGTTTCTTGTATATTCTCAATAAGCCACACCAACAACAGTGCTACAGCAGCAGCAGACGATGCTACAGCAGCAGCAGACGATGCTACAGCAGCAGCAGACGATGCTACAGCAGCAGCAGACGATGCTACAGCAGCAGCAGACGATGCTACAGCAGCAGCAGACGATGCTACAGCAGCAGCAGACGATGCTACAGCAGCAGCAGACAGTGCTACAGCAGCAGCAGACAATGCTACAGCAGCAGCAGACGATGCTACAGCAGCAGCAGCAGCTGACAGTGCAGCAGCAGCAGCAGCTGTACCACCAATAGTAGCGATGGTTGATTGGGGTTTATTATACAACCTGGCCAGCTCGGAGACACGCACTCCACTTTCATACTTATCAATGATCTTTTTCTTCATCTCTATTGTAATTCTCACCCTTATTGCTGTAGGGTTGGCACTAGAAGCTTTCTTGGGGCCCATGGTCACTTATTTTCCAGATAAAGCACCGAAAACAATGTAATAATACGAAATGTTCCGATTGTACGCTTGGATGTTACCGCGGAGGCTGGCTGGTAAACAATGGCACGGGCGGCACATGTGAGGCTGGCTGAGGGCGCACATTGGACGCGTCTCGGACGAACAGCGGTGAGCGGGTTTTTAAGCGGTATGCGAGGCAAAATTTTTGCGATTAAAGCAAGCGGTATGCGGATTAATCGTTATGTGATGCCAACGGTATGCGGGGGTCCACTGTACAGCCTCTCCTCACTTAGTGACATACATGCTCATTTACCAGTAACTCGGACTTATGATGGGCTCTCTGACCAGTATGCATGCTGATTATCTGGAAGTTAATTTTCATTTCAACATTGAATCTTAATTTAGTGTGTTTTATGAAATGCTCAATTTTCACTAAAATATTAAAGTGTAATAAATTTTATATGTATTTGAACCCTTTCGCTGTCCATCACTTAGAACTACGTCACTGACACCAGGGTCTCAGATGTAGTTTTATGCCATGAGCTCAGCATACTCTTAAAAGTTGAGTCGTAAATTTTGGACTAGATATGAGAGAATGGGTCTGTGCCACTTGTGTGCACCATATAAAAAGAAATCCTGCTCCATGTAGGCGTAATGGGAAGAACAAGAGTGTATATGATTTAAAATAGTGACTGGTTTTTTTCAGATGGTTTTATTGGCTGTTTCTTGGTATCATTTGATAGAATCGAAGACATATTACAGCCTCTCCTCACTTAACGACGGAGTTCCATTCCTAAGACCACGTCGGTAAACGAATTTGTCGCTATAATGGTAGTGGGTTTGTGTCATCTATCTTTGATATTGTTTTAATGTCACCTTTGCACCATTTATAACATTTCTGGTATATTTTTAAATGTTTATACAGTACAGCCTCTCCTCACTTATCGACATACTCGTTTACTGATGCCTCGGACTGAACACGGCTCTCTGATCAGTATTTATACCTAAATGAGCTAAATTTATACCTAAATGAGCTAAATGAGCTGATTTCCTCTATTCTGTTTTTCAATATACAGTACACTACTGTATAAACATTTAAAATTATACCAGAAATATTATAAATGGTGCAGAGGTGACATTAAAACAATATCAAAGATGATTGACACAAACCCACTACCATTATAGTATGCTCCTCACTTAGTGATGAATTTGTTTAATGCTGAGGTCTTAGGAACGGAACTCTGTCGATAAGTGAGGAGAGGCTGTAGTGTACCGTATATTGTAATAAACAGAATAGAAGAAATCAGCTCTAATATACATTATTTAGGTATGCATGCTGGTCAAAGAATCCGTTGTAAGTCCAATGCGTCGGTAAACGACTACGTCGCTAAATGAGTAGAGGCTGTACTGAAAGGTGATTTTGGTTGGTCAGGAAAGAGATTAGCTTTAAATTGACCTCAAGTAACAGAAATATTTGATTTTTGCAGATATTCCAGAGGATGGGTAAGGGTCCCTACAACCTCCAGTCTGTTTTATGGGTTTTAATAGATCTGATTCAGTTATTTGGACACTATAAACCATGACCAATATTTCTTGGTTATATTTTGTTTTCCAAAAATTAGAGTAAATCTTCTGTTTTCGTGAGATTATGAATTCAACATGAAAGACAAATGCAATATAGGAGAGGCCTAGAGATGTGATTAATAGACAGGGAAAAATGGCCAAATTACTGATTTCTGTGCACTTGTAATAAAATGCTCAGTTGATAGAATGAAAGGCATACTAGTGAAATAGCTAAGAATTTTCTTGAATGGAACATTGAATTTGCCCAGTATAGGACTTTAAGTCACCAGAATTGCTGATGCATAATTTGTGGTGAGGCAGCTAACTTTGCACCTGTGTAATCCCATAAGTTTTCCATCAAATTTTGTACTTTTAGTGTCAGTACTTTCAGTAAAAGATTCTCTACCATTTCAACTTTTTTTTTTTAAACTGGACACTAAGAGCAATATTAATTTTGGGGATTTGGACAATAAAGGGGTTATAACACTTGCTAATTTTTCATGGGGAGGAGGTGCTGATAAAATTTTTTCATGGGGAGGGGGTGCTGATAATCAGGCCCTTCTGTTCCTTCTTTCAGCCATAACCTTCATCCCATTCATCATGAAGGGTTGCATTTGTCTCTCATGACTTTTTGCTCTTCCCCAGTCAAGAACCTATGTAGCAGGCACTCCGTCTTTGCAAGATCGATGTAATGCTCATTGACTGTTATTTTATGCACTTCCTTAAGCTTTGTGATCCTTCCACATATAAAATGGTAACTAATATTAGTATGACTAATTTGTTCAGGAGGGGTGTTAATGTTGCAGTTTAAAAACTGTAGTGTAAAGCACCCTTCTGGCAAGACAGTGATGGAGTGAATGTTGGTGAAAGTTTTTCTTTTTCGGGCCACCCTGCCTTGGTGGGAATCGGCCAGTGTGATAATATAATATAATTTGTTCAGTTGCTGCCTCCATTTATTATGTTTCTGTCCTCTCCTTAGTCACACACTACTGGCTTTCCTTGATTTACCTACCCTTTAAGTTTACCCTGCATTTCACTTTTTCCCCTCTCCAAGGGAAGTTCTCATGATTTACTCCTTCCTTCCTCCATGTACCAAAACTCAGTTATCTACAATTTCACACTTACTATGCTATGGTAGTGCACACTGATGGTTCTGAATATCCCCCAGTGGTGTCAGATATACACCTGATAGAATAATCCAAGGTCATATACTAGAATCAGCCTATGCAGTTCTCATTGCTGTCATACACATTGTGTCCATGTCTACCTCATCATTCATAGGTGTTTCAGACTCCCAAAATCCACTTTAGGCTATTCAGAAATTCATCTGTCATGTTATCATCCTTCATATATAGTTTTGGTTATATCACATTTCTAGTGGGCATGAAGTCATTTCTTGCTGGGTCCCTGGACACATTGATATTTAGGGCAGTGAACACGCAAACTCAAGCCATTCGGTTAGCTGTTAATGACCTCCCTATTTTCCACAGGGGTATTATGTATCTATATAATAAAGGCACTTGCCTTTATTATGTTGATATATGTTTTGCTGTAAAAATGCCTTCCTATTTTCAGTACCGTGACGAACTTTTCCGTGAAACATCAGAGAGCACCAATTAGTCTTGTGCTAGTCCATTGGACGTGTGTAGCCTACTTGGTATGAACTTTTGACATGTGTGCCGTTTGAAGAGCTCATCACCACTACACAAAATGTCAGTCCACCATATAATAAATTGCCCTGTTCATCAGCAGGCTTGCAGGAGTCACTTCAGATGTCTCGATTGCCCAACACACTGAAGCCCTTGCTGAAAGTCCCACCTTTGATGGAGACTGACTATGAACAGAAACTAATCTGTTGCACTAACTTTGATTTAAATTTTACTCTTGCACTCTTTTTATGCTTTCTTTTTTCAGTACCGCGAAGAACGTTTCCGCCAAACATCGGAGAGCACCAATCAGAGAGTCTTGTGGTGGTCCATTGGACAAGTGTGCATTCTACTTGGTATGGGCTTTTGGCAAATGCGCCATTTGAAGAGCTTCTTTGAAGCCAAGAAACTTGTATAGTCAAAGTGCACATTTATAAGGGGTTCGACACTAAATCGTGTACATCTTAGAAATTGCATTTTGAAATAGCGAAGTAATTCTTTAATATTTTCTATGTTTAGACAAGCCATAGAATGAATATTTATGATTATAGTATAGTACGAAAGTGCATTTGTAAAGCTGAGGTTGTAAAATTGTGGAAGTGGCAATCTGGGTAGACTTTCTTTTAACAACTTATTCAGTTATTTTGGACGATGTCTCGAAGCTAACACTATTCGCGATTTCTTTTAATTAAGAAATCTCAGATTTCATTAGCCAAGAATGTGCAATAAAATATACTCGTGTAAAATTTGCTTAAAATCTTTTGAATTTGTGGTATTCTTAAGCATGGAAAAGAACTTTGCTATTGAAACAAATTTGAACCTTCATCACAGTAAATTAATTTTAAAATTTTGAAAATGATTGGAGATGATAATCTCACTGAAGCTGTTATAATGGTATAATGAATCTTGATATTAAGTTAGCTTTTCAGGAATATTTTAGACAATAGTAATAGTGCTAAATGTTTTATAGTTTTGATGTGTAAATATCACAAATCTGTCTGTTAAACCATGTGATGATAAATAAAGTTTTTATTATTTGTATTGTTTTTAAAACCATCTGACCCTTATGAGTTTATTGCTTAACTTTATTATATAAAACCTGTCCTTTTCAAGGAAGGAGCCTTAATCCAAGGAATTGGAACCGTCCTCTAACTTGGTTTAGCACTTAATTTGATTATTATTCTCTTTCTCAGATCATACCCAATTAACTTCCATTCCCCAAATGCTGTATAACCTTTACAGATTTAGTGCTTTCTCATTAATACTAAAATAATGTTTGATAACTGATCATTCATATTATTATTATTATTATTATAATCAAAAAGAAGCGCTAAGCCACAAGGGCTATACAGCGTGATCATTCATAGAGTTAATAAATCTGTGTAAGAAAACTTGTATGGTGCTATGGTTACATTATTTATTATAAGAGGTTCATGAGAAATGATTATTATAATCAAAACTAAGGCGCTGAACCCACAAGTCATACAGTGCTGTATGAGATATGATACAGGGGCCTCTTTAAGGAGGAGGGGGGAGGGCTTGATGGCACAGTGAAGAGGCTTTTGGTCTGAGGAATTGGACCCTTCAGTATTCTTCCTCCAACTGAACCTAATTGCTTCCCCACTCTTTCCCCTTCCCTGTCTTTTTCCCATCCCTCGGCTCTTTCCTTTCCTGCATGTGGCCTATAGGGTCTTCCCCTCTGAAATTCTAGCTCGTAGGTTGGGGAAAGGGTGTCACTATCCATCCTATTCTGTTGAGTTCCTTGATGGTGTTAGCTGTGGAATCTGGATCATTTGGAGATGTCAAGATTCCCCTTCTGGAGTTCCAGTGGAGGGATGTCTAAGGGTGTCCTCCAGGTGCTGAGTGTATCTCTGGAGGCTGCCTCTTGGTTCCGGGAGGTGGTGGCCAATAGAGATTTGCCTTGTGGCAGATTTCCAGCTGCCTTCTCTTTTGTCCACTGAGGTGGCTCAGCGGATGTGAGGTTGCTATCCTGGATTGTTGATTTACTGGCATGAAGGGTAGGGTATAGAATGGGTTCCATTTTGCAACTGCACTATATATCTCCCTCTATGCCCTCTTGGGCACAGAGGGGGATATACAATTCCTCTCATTCCTCCTGGGAGCTATCCCTCCACATTCTCTTTTTTTATTTTTTCCCCTCTTAATAAAAAAAAAAAAATTGTAAGGAGACCCATACTCAGGACTTACTTCCTCCTGGGTTCTTTCCTGCAGCACGCTGTATAGTCCTAGTGGCTTAGCGCTTCTTTTTGATTATAATAATAATTTCCTGCAGCACCTCTTACATACCTGGCATGCATTCGGATCTCTCTTCCAACCTGGTCCCTTCAAGGGAGGTTCCTTGATGTTGGTGAGGAGCTCTTGATCTAGGGAATTGGATCTGTGCTCCAGTTCCCCAAATTGACCCTGAATACCCTCCATCTGCCCTCCAGGAGCTGTATAATCCTATGGGTTTAGCGCTCCACCATGATTATAATTATTATAATCTTCCAGAGCATTTCAGGCAAATTAGATTAGTTTTGTCCCAGGATGCAATCCACACCAGTTGACTAACACCCAGGTACCCATTTTACTGATGGGGAACATAGACAACCAGTGTAAGGAAACATGCCCAAAGTTTCTAGCCTTGCTGGGAATCAAACCGGTACCCTTGCCAAGTAAAGCGAGAGCTTTAGCCGCCAGGCCATGGGGCCACCCTTGAGGATTGCACATGGCACACTGCCTGAACGTAGGCTATGACGTCTAAAGGCAAGCTTCACTAGGAAATGGTGTATATCACTATCACTCAAAGAATCCTCCAAGGGCATAAAATTAATCTCGTCATCACTTACTATATCACTTTTACTGTCATCAAAACTGCGGGAAAAATGGTAATTTCCACTTGCGTAGTTGCCTCTGAGTAGTAACACTGGCCACCCCAGAGGTGGTGGGCTGAGGGTCATCTGGGTTATCAATATTTTCACTAATTCCTCAATCATTTGTGGCTACATCTGTCTCATATCCACTAAACTGAGGTTCTATATCACTTTCCTTGAATAAGAGTTTGTTAATACAATGGGGCATGAGTGAATCCTGGGTGTTTGCCATGATGTTGACCCAAGCTGGTGCTGAAACTGGTGCTCCCATGTGTTACTGCAGGGTCCCTGATTTCTTTTCATACTGAGCACAATGAGTGTGCAGACCCATTCTCTCGTGTCTAGGCCTCTCAGGCCTATTGCACCATATTTGAAGGCAGGAAAAATAAAACGCTGATCTATGTCTGGAGCACTAGCAGTAAAAATGTACAGCTATATTTGGACAGTTAAGGGGTTAAACGATAGGTCATCTGACTTTAAGTGTAAGTCTGTTACATATTCCTTTCGTTCTATAGAATTGTCTGCCTGCATTTTGAACCGTGTGTGTGTTTTTTTACTTCATTCTTTCCATGCTTAAACAGTAAAAATTTCTAACCCCGATCTGTTTCTTTGGGTCATTCTTCAAAGAGGATACCTTTATTCTGGTGAAGGGGGTTCTTGGTACAAGGAAATGAAGCTACCTTCCTATTTTTCAGAAAGGAAGCTGTGCAGCACATGTATGGTAGAGGCTGCATATGAGAGTGAGAGATAATGCAACTGAGAAACTGATCACTATTTTGAGCTGTCTACTAAAGGTCCAGAAAATTCTAGCACACTGGAAGATTAGCAGTAATCATTATACATGCAGTAAATTTGAAATAAAACCATAGGTATAGTTTTTTTTTTTAACACGTTGGCCATTTCCCATCGAGGTAAGGTGACCCAAAAAGAAAGAAAAACCCAAACAAAGAAAAAACTTTCATCATCATTCAACACTTTCACCATCACTCATACATGATCACTGTCTGTGCAGAGGCGCTCAGATACGACAGTTTAGAAGTCCCTCCAAACTGCCAATATCCCAAACCTTTATTTTAAAGTGCAGGCAATGTACTTCCCATATCCAGGACTCAAGTCCGGCTAACTGGTTTTCCTGAATCTCTTCATAAAATATTGAAAATATTAAAATAAAAAATATTAAAATTAAAATAATAAAATAATTCAACAGAACCATTTTCTTCACATTGCAGAAACCTCATGGAAATTAGGTTCTATTAAATGTAAACATAAATACAGTACAGCCTCTCCTCACTTAATGACGTACTCGTTTACCGACGACCCGGACTTACGACAGGCTCTCTGACCAGTACGCATACCTAAATAATGTATATTAGAACTGGTTTACTCTCTTCTGTTTATTACAATACAGTGGACCCCCGGTTAACGATATTTTTTCATTCCAGAAGTATGTTCAGGTGCCAGTACTGACCGAATTTGTTCCCATAAGGAATATTGTGAAGTAGATTAGTCCATTTCAGACCCCCAAACATACACGTACAAACGCACTTACATAAATACACTTACATAATTGGTCGCATTGGGAGGTGATCGTTAAGCGAGGGTCCACTGTATACAGTACACTACTGTATAAACATTTAAAAATATACCAGAAATGTTATAGATGGTGTAAAGGTGACATTAAAATAATATCAAAGATGGCTGACACAAACCCACTACCATTATAGTATGTTCCTCACTTTGTGACAAATTCGTTTACCGATGAGGTCTCAGGAACAGAACTCTGTCGTTAAGTGAAGAGAGGCTGTATAATCAAAACCAGGTTGCAAATAAGGAGATATTTAACATGACTTATTTTTATTTTATCTAGTACATTTAAGTGAAATTGGTTGTACTACAAACATGAGAATTATCATAGAACAATGATTGAAACAGAATTTTATTTCTATTTCTTGCATTCAGAGCAGGATGGTCCAAGAACAAATGTCAGAAGAACCTTCGCATCAGTTGCACACGTTTCCTTTGCTACCAGATGATGCTGTGGAAAAAATAGATAATATTTAAATTGAATTTGGGAAACTGAAGATATCCCTGTTCTCTCCAAAAACTATATAATTTATAAAATCTTAAAATACAATGTTCTCTTCCTTACCCTTTTCCTAACGCATAAGTCGAGCTGAGCTATCCTACCTACAGTACACCATATCAGGGACAATACCCACGGTCCCCTTGTTAGTGAAAAAGGAACAGCTGTAACTGTGAAAACCAAGTACAGTTTTTATCGATAATCATGGGGTATGCTCCCTGCAAAATTCTTCAAGCATTTTAATGCAGTAGACAAATATAAATCGCACAATCATAAACAAACAAAACTTTATAAAGTGGAATACAGTATATTTTTCAATTACAGTGGCTGATATATATGTAACGTAAAGTAAAGTAATGTTTATTTCTTTGTAAAGGTTACAATGTGTAATTACAATTTTGATTTGCTAAGTACAAGGATAGCCACTATCATGCTAAGGCATTTCGGGCAAACTAATCCTAATACATAGTAACTAATTAAAACTAGATAAGATAACAGTATATAGTAACTATACTTAAAACTAGACAAGTAATAGTGGTCTAGTTTTACAATCTTTTTTAAACTTAATACAAGTGAGTAGGGTTCGGTAAAATAAGCTTGAAATTGCACACAAAATCTACCTTACAAGTAATGGTGCAGGTGGTAATATTTTATTGAATGGCAGAATTAAAAAGCCAGGAGGTCACATAAAAAGACTAATTAGCAGATGTTTTGGCCAATTTGGTTAATATTGAGAAATAAGATTACATATTTTATGGATTTACAGAATTAAGAGCCTAGAGGTCACATAATAAAATTAGTTAGCAGAGGTTTGGTTGATTTGGTTAATATTGTGAGATAAGATGATTTTTTAGCAAAGTCCTAAATTTATAAGCTGTCAGGGTATCCTTGACCTGTTCTGGTAGCGAGTTCCACATCTTCAGGCCTTTCATGTGCACAGCGTTCTTGCATAGTGAGAGACTGACTCAAGGGATGTTGAAAAGTGCCTTATGCCTTGCATTGTGGCTGTGATTCTGTTGTAACTGTCTAGTAGTTTTAGGGGAGGGTTTAGAGTGGAGTTTAATGTTCTGTATATGCAGTA